AAATTACCTTTACACAGCCTTTATTCATGTGTGGACAAAGGTAAGAGTGTGTGGTAAATGTTGGAAGACAGAATACAAGTGACGGAGTCTGAGCCAATTGACGTTTATGAGGCATTGAGGATGGGAAACCAACAAGGGAGGCATGATGCTCTGAGATGCTGATTAGGGGGTGGCAAGGTAGCTCAGTGGTTAGCACTGCTGCCTTACAGTACCAGGGGCCTGGGTTCGATTCCACCCTCAGGCGACTGTCTGTGTGGAGTTTGTACATTCTTTCTCTGTCTGCATTGGTTTCCTTCAGGTGCTCTGGTTTCCTCCCACAGTCCAAAGATGTGCAGTCTATGTAGATTGGCCATGATAAATTGCCCATAGTGTTCAGGGATGTGTAGATTAGGTGGGTTAAAGGGGAACGGGTCTGGGTGGGATTCTCTGAGGGTCGGTGTAGACTTGTTGGGTCAAAGGGCCTGTTTCCACACTGTAGGGATTTTATGGACATCTAGTGAACTGGTATCTGTGATTGTTTCTTCATGACTTTAATAGGAACTGTACATTTTTCATCATTGTTTCAAATCCTAATTGATATTGAGTGCATTAGTGAATGAGTACATTATGGAAATACTAAAATGTGGAGGCCCGAGTAAAGGTGGAAATGTGAAGTCAGCTCCCTAATGTATGAAAATGGTATTTGAATGAAAGCATGTTAATGAGGGTAAGCTGTAGCGTAAAACATATATGACATACTCATTGAAGTTTTGACTCACTTGGAGAATGGGGCAAGGCACATGTGTTGAAAGACAGTTTGAAGGAGTAAAAATGTTTATTGATATAGCACCTGTCATGATCACTGGACTTCTCAAAGCCCTTTTACAATGAATAAAGTAGATAGTCACCATTGTAACGTAAGAAATTTACAGGGGAATTTCAAAAACCTTTTCTAGGATTACATGAATCCACAGCTACCACGACCAAAGACACTCACCAGTTTTGAATGTAGTGTAGTCGAGACATTGCTGACCCACGATTATTTAAATAGTACTGTGACTGGAACTGTTTTGATTGCATGTTCATTTAAAGCTACTGGTCAAATTGTTCTTCTCAGTTGAATTTTTACACCAGGGAATCCATAAAATCCAGAAACTGCTTCATGCTCTATTACACATATTTAATAATTATAAAACATATATAGAATTATCTCAAATAAGTCATCATCAGATAATTTGTTACAAGGAATTTGTTTTTAGGTGTTTTAAGAATTCCAGATCTTGATCATGCATCATAAAATAAGTAAAATTGGATGGGAGCAGGAAATAATGGACCCTTCTGGAAGAGCCTACTCTAGAAGTTTTGACAGGACCTGAGTTGGATAGAATTGTTTATTCAGCCAAACCTTGGCTCCTGATTGTCTGTCAATGAAGAATGAAGAGCTTTCCTTTGCTTGGAATTCCCTAGACTGCAATGTTCATTCTATCCTTCCATCTGGGTACAGGAAAAATCCAGCCTACAAATCATAGTCAGAATGGATGTGACATTCTTATGGTCTTGGGCTGTAAATTCCTGGAAACCTGCCAGGTAAATTTTGTTTGGACCTCCATTAAAGGGATTTGCTTTGTCAGGGTATTTATACTTGGTGGTGTATAGTACAGTAAACACAATTGACAGCCCAAGCCCCTTGCCCTGATTTCAAAGATGGTTGAAGGCAATTTTCAGATCCTTCAAATACATCAGTTATCAATGTAGCTACACATCAATCTATTCAAATGAAATGGCTCTTGGTTTTGAATATGCCTGAAAATTATCATGGGAAATTCATGACACACCAGCAGAAAACATGACAAAAATTAATTAAACCCATCAGCACAGAAATTGTACTAATTAGCAAAATTAAGTCTCTGCTGCTATGTCTTCCGCCTGTCATCCTTTTCATTATGTAGTAAACTCAGTGCTAGTTGTCCAGCGACCGAACAGTACTAAAAGTAACACACAGTTAACAGCAATGGAAAGCAGCAAAGTTACAATTATGAATATTGGGGAATTAAAAAGGGGAATGTTTGAACTCCCTCTGCCTGGCATAAACCAGGCAGACTGGGGGACTTAAAACACATGTAGTTCAATTGTCGTTTATTTCCCACAGTATTCACAAAAAGCGTGAAGCAACAAAACCCTGCCACATCTGTTTCCCTATCATCAATATTTGGTTTGCAGCTAATTCTTGTGGGGTGTGCAGTGAGGTAGAGTTGTAGCTGGCTCCTAAAGGCAGAACCTGCAACGCATCTGTTATATGAATGTTGTTGAAAAAGCAAGATCATCGTAATTATGAATGTGGCAGATATTTGGCTGTCCTTTCAGACTGAACTAAGTAGCCTATCTCAGTGCTAATGGTATTAGTGAACGTGGGCTTCCTGTGGCTCTGGATATTGCTATGTTAGCTATAACTGACTTGACTATAATTCCTCTGTTGCAGCTATTTAAAAAAATTCCACAGAGGCTGGTATCCCATTACCAAGTCACTCTTTAGTTACACTGGCATAGGACTTGACACTGGCTTGGCTTCCTCAGAGCCAGCTCTCAGAATGAACAGAACCCCTGACACTCCTGGTTATATCTGTCAGCCAGGGCTCCCTGACTGGACCATATTAATAGCCCCAATCAGGAAACTCATATTCTATGAGCTCCACTTGGCTGACCTCATGACAATCACTACAGCTATGATTGTGAGCATCTCAACTCCACGAAACCATTCATCACAGCATGCTCTCAGTAAGTGATCAATATCAAAAAACTGCTGGAACTGTTCCTGACTCATCAAATACTCCATTAGTTCAGGTTGGAACTTCTGTAACTGTTAATTGTTTGATGTGCCTCGGCAGAATGCAATATTTGTTTAAGATTACCTCAAATCCATATTCAAATTTTCATAAGCCTTTCTAATTCCCCTTTCTCAGGACTTTGGATGTTTGTCGCATGGAAGTTTAATTTGTTATTGCTTTGATCTATCTAACATTTAATATATTTACATATAGAACATAGAACTGTACAGCACACGAAGGGGCCCTTTCACCCATGGTATTATGCCGAACATGATGCCAAATGAAACTAATCCGTTCTGCCTGCTCTTGGTCCATATCCCTCCATTCCTTGTATATTCATGTGCTTAACTAAAAGTCCCTTAAATGCCTCTAACAGATCTGCCTCCACCACCACCCCTGGCAGCACATTCCAGACTCCTACCACTTTCTGTGTAAAAAAAACTCACATCTCCGTTAAACGTCCCCCCACCTCACCTTAAATGCATGGCCCTAGTATTAGACATCATGATTAGTATTGACCATCAACCCTATCCTTGCATCTCATAATTTTATAGACTCCTATCAAGTCTCCCCTGAACCTCCTTTGTTCCAGAGAAAACAAACGGAGTTTTTCTAGACTGTCCTTGTAGCTCATACCCTCTAATCCAGGCAGCATCCTGGTAAACCTCTTCTGCATCTTCTGCAAGCTTCCAAATCCTTTCTGTAATGTGGTGACCAGAATTGAATGCAATACTTTAAGTGTGGCCTCACCAAAGACTTATAAAGCAGCAATGTGGCATCCTGACTCTTGTACTCAATTCCCTGACCAGTAAAGGCAAGCATGCCATACGTCTTTTTTACCACCCTACTTGCATGGCCACTTTCAGGGAACTGTGGACTTGAACCCCAAGATCCCTCCACACATCAATGCTGTTCAGGGTCCTGCCTTTAACTGTATACTTTTCCTTAACATTTGATTCTCCAAAATGCAGCACCTCACACTTACCTGGATCAAACTCCATCTGCCATTTCTCTGCCCATATCTGCAACTGATCTATACCCCGCTGTATCCTTTGATAACCTTCTACACTATCCTCAACTCCACTGACCTTTGTATCATCTGCAAACTTACTAATCCACCCATTTACATTTTCATCCAAGTCATTCATATGTATAAATATATAATATATATATCACAAACAGCAGAGGTCCCAGTACAGATCCCTACACAACGCCACTAGTCACAAACCTCCAGCCAGAAAAAACACCCTTCCACCACTACCATTATATATATATTTTATATATATATGTGTGTGTGTATTATGTATGTTTATTTTGTAAAATTTCACATACAGAAAATATGTTAGGTGTCAGAACAATGTCTTAAAATCAGATGATTCCACACCCTTGTGAAATTCTTTTCTCTGCTATTTTGTTGGTATTAACTCATTTAAAACCACTGAAAAATCATGAGACAGGATTTTAACCAAACTCCCTCAATATTCTTTCAAGGGTTCGATTTCTTTAAATTTTGAAAATAACTTCAGTCTGTAGGGGGCAGCATTATGTTTTGTTGAAATAGTATTCTCATTTTCATTTCAATGCTTTATAAATTGATATTGTTTTGTAAAAGATCTTAGATTTTACAATGCCGCTAAGGGTTTTCTTTGTTATTTTTTAACCAATGTATTTCAATTAAATTTATTCAAGTCGCATCTTTTATTAAGGACCTGTTATTACAAATGTTTGGCTGGCTATGATTTTAAAGACATCTAGTTAATGAACAACAAATCCATCATCTAATATTATATGATAAGCGTGGTGATAGTATTGTGGATGTTTGAACTTTACATGACTGAGATGATCTGTAGCCATCACTCACATTTCCTCCTCTTTGAACTCCTTTTTTTCAGTTAAGCTGTTTCATGGTTCTGTTTCCCAATCTCATTTTCATTTAACTTTATTTGTTTTTTACAAGTCTGCCTCTGTTTTTCTCTCTGTTGTTCACTCATTCTGTTTATCACTTCCCTGAGGGACCATTGCAAAGCAGTAGTCTGCTCCAATTGGTCAGCCTGCTACATGTACAGCTCCTATCTCCAGAATCACTGTGATGCTGGATACAGTTCCCAGGGAGTCTCCAAGACCACAGCAGCCTTCCTGCAAAAATGCTGCACATGTTCCTGAGCCTTCTACCTTCACAGATCTCCACAAGAGCAGCTGAAGCAAGGACAGCCCCCAGTTTCCTACACTGTCTGGAAGCATTAAGCTACCTAGCAACGGGGAAACATCATTCGAAGTGAAAATCCTGGGCTACCTAGCAACTAAACAATGTCATTTAGTGCCTATCCAACACCCAGATTCGAAAGGGGACCTGCCTCATAACACAAAGACTAAAGCTGCCTCAAGAATAAAACTGCACTGGACAAGGATTGATGATTTCAGTGTGCTGCCGAAAGGATGTCTGCACTCCGTAGAAAATTTGGTGAAGACTATCAAGTTGTGAACACTTCCCGGGTTTCCACTTACAGTGCACCTGTAAAAAAGAAAAGGCAAAGGTTTGTAGACAAGAACGGTCGTTGTAATGTGCAGCATGGGAACTTAGGCGGAGAGACAAGTAGGTACATTTCTGATTTGTTCACTACTTTAGTGGATCTGAAGTGGAGATGGAACCTCCTAATCTTCATTCTGACTTATACAATTGCCTGGCTAGTGATGGCTTCAATGTGGTGGATCATAGCCTATATCCGAGGAGATATAAACCAGACCCATGGCGAGAACTATACCCCGTGTGTGGCCAATGTCTACAATTTTCCATCTGCTTTTCTCTTCTTCATAGAGACAGAGGCCACTATTGGTTATGGCTTCAGATACATTACCGAGAAATGCCCAGAGGGTATCATCCTCTTCTTGTTCCAATCCTTGCTTGGTTCCATTGTGGATGCCTTTTTGATCGGGTGTATGTTCATCAAAATGTCCCAGCCAAAGAAAAGGGCAGAGACTTTGATGTTTAGCCACAACGCAGTCATCTCCCAACGTGATGGCAAAATGTGTCTGATGTTTCGAGTAGGGAACCTTAGAAACAGCCATATGGTCTCTGCTCAGATGCGATGCAAAGTGATAAAGGTAAGCACAAACAAACTAATTTGCCAGTAAAAGCCTCGGCAATGTGTTCAAACAATGCCAGGCACTCTTAACTCAATTTTGCTCTCTGGATAAACTGTTATGTATCTTATATCAATGTTTTATTGCCAGATTTTGTTGTAATTGGTAGATGGAAATTAGGGTAAATTTAATTTTAAAGCATTTAGCATTTGCTGACTGAAATATTTAAGCTGAAAACAGTGTTCTCGGGGAATTCAGCAGTGAAGGAGTTAACAAAGTCTCATCACAGAGATCACAAGTACATTTGGTACTTGTACAGCCTTCAAATGTAGGCAATTAAACACAGTTCATCTGAATATGTTTGAATAATCCAAATATTCTCTACTCTCTCGATGTCTAGTGAGATAAATGATAGTGGTCAGTGGCCTGAATTATAGTTGCTGATATTAACAGCTACTAGTTAGCCTGACAGAGAGACATTTATTGTTCTTCTATCTTGCTGGAGGTCCTATTCAGTCTGTTAAATAATAGAATTTCAGTATGTTGCTTGTGCCCATGTAGAATCCCGACAGTGCAGACCGGCCATTTGGCCCATTCAGGCTGCACAAATCCTCCGAAAAGTATCCCAGCCAGACTAACCCCATTCCCCCACATTTCCCATGGCTAACCCCCCTAGCCTGCACATCCCTGGATACTATGGAGCAATTTAGCATGGCAGATCCACCTAACCTGCACATCTTTGGACTGTGGGAGGAAACCATGGCACCCGAAGGAAACCCACGCAGATACGGGGAGAATGTGCAAACTCCACACAGACAGTTACCCAAGGCTGGAATCAAACCCAGGTCCCTGGCACTTTGAGACATCAGTGCTAAACACTGTGCCACCCTAAGTTGATTCCTAATTTGAATAATGAGTTAAACAAAGACAATAGTCCCAAATTTCATAATATATAAAGCCTGTCAGCTTGAAATTACAGAATTAGTGGAAGATACCACAGTTCCATGTACCAGTTGTGTACAAGCACCTTTAGGGATATGCCTTCGGACACCCATTTGACCATGTGTGATGAAAACATTGGGAACCAACCATTATTGTTGCGGTGTTGGACATTGGAAGTGATTATCCAGCAACCATTTCCCACCGCCTCCAACAATGCCTTCTTCGGCAAGGGGCCCCCATAGAAGAAGTAATTGCATTTACATAGCAGCTTTCACTGGCTCTTGCCCCAGTACTTCACTGTCAATAAACTGCTTTTGAAGAGCAGCCACTGTTGTCGAGACATGATAGGCAATTTGTGCACAGCAATGAGATACATTGCCAATTGAAGTATTTTTGGAAGTGTTATAGTTGAAAAATAAATATTGGCCTTGGCAAAACTTCACAGTCCTTTCAATGGTGCCATTGGATTCATACACTTGAAGGGACAGACTCAACCTTGGTTAATGTTTCATTGGAAAGATACTACCCAGAAACAGAGCACCTCCCCCTCTCTGAAATGTTGATTGAGATAATGTGTCAAAGGGCAGAGGTGGAAGGAATAGTTATAGAGCCCACAAGCATGGAAAAAATTGTTTTATGAGGTGACTGACTTGGGCTGAATATGAAAGTTTGATTTCCTTATGGCACATTGAGGTTGAGATTAAGTCAATGAAGTTTGTTCAGTGATGGGTTCATACATGTAATAAACTTGCATGCTACGAATACCTATTATCATAAAACATTTTAAAATAAAGTCCGATCTTCAAGGTAAAGTCAGCTCACAAGAGAATCTTGTACCAGCTTCACCTCGATTTAAATGTGACATGTGTTTGAGGTCAAATGTTACCATAGAAACATAGACAATAGGAACAGGAGTAGGCATTCAACCCCTTGACCCTGCTCCACCATTCAATCTGAGTCTGATCATCAGGCTCAATACCTTAATCCTGCCCTATCCCTTGATTCAATGAGCCGCAACTGCTATATCTACTTCCTTCTTGAAAACATTTAATGTTTTGGCCTCAACCACTTTCTAGGGTCGTAAATTCCATTGGATCACCACTCTTTAGGTGAAGAAATTTTTCCTTATCTCAGTCCTAAAAGACTTACCCTTTATCCTTAAACAATGACCCTTTGTTCTGTTCTACGCCACTATTGTGAACATCCTTCCTATGTCTAACCTACCTCGTCCTGTTAGAATTTAATAGGTTTTTATTAGATCTCTTCTTATTCTTCTAAACTCCAGTGAATCAATCCTAATTGACTCAATCTCCCATTGTATGTCAGTCCTGCCATCCCCAGGAATCAATTTGTTAAACCTTTGCTGAACTCTCTCTATAGCGAGAACATCCTTCCTTTGATAAGGAGGTCAAAACTGCACACAATATTCCAAGTGTGGCCTCACCAATGTCCTGTATAATTGCAGCAAGATATCCCTGTTCCTGTACTTGCATCCTCTTGTTATGAAGCCAAACATACAATTTGCCTTGTTTACTGCCTGCTGCACCTGCATGCGTACTTGCTGTGACCGGTGCATGAGGTCATGCATAATCCATACGCATCCTCATTGAGCTCTACACCACAAGTGAGAGAAACAAGGTAATAGCAGCTTGCATGGAGGTTCAGGTCTGACCTGGACGAGTCAGCATTGGTGGTGAGGTGTGGCTTAGGGTTGGGGGAATGGAGGAGTGAAGTAGGAAGGGCCCAGCATCCTTGAGGTGGTGGGAGTTGGTTGGAAACAAGGCATCTTGGTCAAGGTAAGAAAATATGGGACCTAAAGGGCAGTGTTAGTGCTATGCCGATAACAATCCAGTGCAGGGTGTTCACTGGTATAGTTTCTAGGGCTTTGAGTTCACTTGCAACATTCAAATTATCCCTGCTGAGAGTGATCTCTGATGATGTCCTCCACAATGCATAAAAGAGAAGGCTAGCTGACTCTGCACTTTCAACCATGTCCCACGAAGTGACAAGGACAACATTGCACTTTTACACAAGCATTCAGTAAAGAGTGAACATAGAAATGCACCATTGTGAAGGAAACAATAATGGAAGTGACCCTAACTCCCCTCTAACCATTGATGTCATGTCTAATAGTTTCCATGCAACACATTTAGATTTCTGACTAAGCTAATTCTAAAAATAACAGTGATGCACACATGAATAAAGTGAAATCAATATAATGTGAATTATTTAAGAAATGAAGTTTAACATGGAAAATACTGTGCCTCATTTACACCCTCAATAAGCCTCGTATTAAAGGCAATGGAGTTATGCAGTATAGTTGTGACCATGCTGAAAGGTCTTCATATTCAACGATGAGGGTCTTCTGTAGCCTGCCTGTACCTGCTTTATTGTCAATTGCTGGTGGGTTTCACCACTGAAAAGCCACGCCTGACATGTGGTCACACGAGTCTGCCATATACACTAGCAGCACTTTAGCTTTTAATTGGAATCATGTGGGAACCAACAAAAAGAATGACCAAAAGTGACACACATCTAGTTCCACTGTTGGGAATGGTATGTCACTGCCAAAATGTCATCCAAAATTGTTTGAAATGACATCTGAACCCATCGCATAACATCGTAACTCAACAGACTAGATTACCATGAATTAGGCAAAGTTAACACTTGTGCCAGGATTTCTGCAATTGCTTGACATACCGTCCAGCACCACAGCGCTGGATCCACTACTGAGTATCAGTAGCAGGAACCACTGTCCTAGAGAAATTCATGCTCCCCCAGTCCCTTACTTTGCCCCCTGTTCACATTGACTGGGGCAGGTGGAGATTCCGTGTTTTAAAAGGTAGCAACAAAGTTCTCAGAATCAGCTTGGAGCCAAAGAATTGGCTGACATTCTCCTGGTGAGCTCTGCCAAAAACCTCCAGTGGGAAGCTGCTGCAATCCCTGGGGATGTTCTGGGCGACTAAATTCTTCTGCATGCTTGGCTGATTTAACTCCCCTGAAACCTTTTGTGAAATTTCCAGTTGTTTGAATCACCATTTTAGGATGAAAAGTTATTTACTGGAATTGTACAGACAGTTGTTTGACTCATGAAGTCAACTTAGAGGCTTAAGTGCATGGAGGCAAGTAATAGTATCAAAAATTTAATAGAGTTTCAAATGATTGCTTTCATAAAAATGTTAAAATTAAAACTGTCCAAAGTACAACTTGACAATTGAGACTAGTCTAGAAATATGGAAATTTTATTGATGGCAGAAATACAGAATAACCCACTATACATAAGGCAAAGCAAATAGCTCATATTATAGTTTTAAAGTCTGCACTAAAAGTCAATATCATACACTTAAAATTATCAACATGGTAAATGGTTATCTTAGAAAATAGAATCAAAAAATGAAACAAACACTTAATGAGAGATCATTCCAAAGAAGGGTTTCTTAAAAGCGCTCATCACAATTTTTCTGCGAACCATTTCTATAAGAAAATAATTCTTATGATGTTCTTCATTTTTTGTTATACTGGTCATATACTAAAATGTTCAGTGGTGTAACAGTTCCAAATTTTTATTGGATTTCATAAATGTGTTAATGGAAAGCTACAGAACTGATGATTGCATTTAAAATGAATAAGTAATTGGCTTGAAATGAATTTGCCTAAATCTGTATGGTAATGATACAATCTCACTATACACTTGCAGTATGTAATGAATACACTCTCTTTTAGACATTTTGCAAAATGCAGGTAAAACATCTTCTAGATCTATATTTTCTAATGCATGTAATCTGTTATTTTATTGAACACAAAATTATTGATCTCCATGTTGTGCAGATAAGTCAGCTACATGTCTGTTTTGTAACATATTGTAATTTCCACTGCAGATCTTCAGTTTTGAATTTGCACAACCTGAATTGTAGATTCAGGGTTAATATAAAGTGTCTTGGATTGAGTTGCAATATATGATCAAGATAGATTTTAATTTAAATCATGCCATGAAATGAATTATTGCACAGGGACAAAAGACATGAACTTGACGTTGACATTGAATCATAGCCATTTTTCTAATAGCTATTTTGGTACAA